GGGGGGGGGGTGTTGGTAGCTTGTTTAAATGCAGCTGATGGTAATCACTTAGAGATGGTGGAGTACTCAACTATTTGCTGATTGATTAAAAAAGGTCCAAGGTGACCAGTAAAGTAAGATTGGATTTAAGATTTGACATTTGCTTTAAATTTTAAAAATAAGATTTATAACAGTTTTTTCTTAGAGGAAAAGATTGCATCTCCAAATGAAATGGATCACGTCTGTGTAAAAGATTCTTTGGAAACTTTCTTCAATTTTTTTTAAATCTTTCCACTTGTTCTTGATATTTCACATGAACATTTATACCATTAGCATCTGCATTTCTGCTGAACTTCACATATAACTCCAATGTCTAGCATGAGGATCTAAAGAAGAAAAAAACACATTTATTGGTCTCTACTCTAGCCTGTATTATCTTTGTGTAAAATCCATTATTATGTCTCATGAAGAGGATAGTGTGGATACACAGATCTGAAATTCTGGGGATCTGAAACCAAGCTCACTATCACAGTGAGCAATTTTAATTTTAATAACAGAACCAGGCACCATGTTAACAGATGATGGGAGAGTACAAACAACTTGGATATGTCTTGCTCAGTTGCTACACAGGGCAACTTGCATATGTTAAGATCAGTTGCTACACAATATTCAACATTTAAAATTTAGCCAAAAATATACCATGTTCCCTGAAAGGGAGACATCCCCCGAAAATAAGACCTACTTACAGTTTTGCCTCTCGCTGAAATATAAGGAATCCCCCTAAAAATAAGACCTCCCAGAACATAAGGCCTCCCTGATAATAAGGCCCCCTGAAGTTACCGTAACTCTGGACTCTGGACTGTAGCAGCGGGCACTGCCGTGTAGCTCATGTTGGCCACAGCACAGCTGGAGCAGACAGGCAGTGCGAGTAAATGTATCATAGATTATGAGTAAATGTATCATAGATTGTTGTACATGGAAATAATCATAGTAACAAGAAATTCTTGATACTGTAGGATTCACAGTTTGTCTGGTTATGCTGGTTTGTGATGACAACTACTAACGTACCGTATACAGGTAATAAATTTCCTTTTGTGTGTGTGTACCGTATTCTTCTTCATGGAAAAATAAGATATCCCCTGAAAATAAGACCTAGCACATCTTTGGGAGCAAAAATTAACATGACACTGTCTTATTTTTGGGGAAACAGGGTATTTCAAATATCATATTTAAAAAGTGGAAAGAAAGAAGAAGAATGATGTGGGCCTCTCTGAGAAGTGCTATATATAAGTGCACTTTACAGAAGAGGAAATTGAGGCTCCAAGTTACTATATCTCAGGCCAGAAAGAAAGTACCAGAAATTATCCACCCTGAATCTTAAGCTCTTCCCAGCATGCGTATTGACTCTTCACCTTGATAAAGCTACCCTGACCTTCAGTTATTTGTACTGGCATTGAAAATAATGAAAAGAGATGCTGAATGAAGTTATTAACTTGTGGCTAGGTTAGACTTTTACTTCAACTGATCATTGAACACACGTGGAATAGGAGTCTTGTTTTCTCGTCTGCGGACAAAAATGTTTGACAGCTATCTTATGCATAATTTTGTGCCAGCATCTCCCTCCTCCTCTATGCCAAACCCCACATACAAGACACAGAAGCAGGAGTCACGTTTGTTTTGGCCATTCTGAGCAGAGGACACGTCGGGAGGGTGGAGAGAGCCCTCTTCCTGTAGCCAGAGGAAGAGTGATGAGAAAGACATTCTTTCAAGGCCACCAGAGAAAGCCTTCCTGGAGCTGGCACTCGGACTTCAAACTGCTAGCCTTCCAGGCTGGGACAGACGAAATCTCTATTTGTTCTGCTCCAGCAGCGCTAGATGGCTAAGGCACCTAGTAAATGGAAAATTTTCAAGACGCCCAGGACTAAGGGACGCACTCCTCTCCTACTTCTTCCTTGAGGAGCTTCCTTGGCTGCCTCTTTCTCCTTTTATCTCTTGGAAGATAAATGGTGTCTCACACAGGTTGTATTCTATGTTTTTTGGTATATGAAACCCAGGATTGATGGACCTATAGGGACAGCATGTAGGATAAGGGTTTCAGGGGGCTAGGTACTGTGGTGAGGGTAAAAAGGAGCTGATGCCAAGGAGTCCAGGCAGGAAACGAATGTTTGGAAACTGATCGCGGTAGCAATTGTACAATAGCGCTTGACATGATCGAACTCTGGAATGATATGTGCATTAATTCTCAATGATAAAATAAATAATTTTGTTTTTTTAAAAAAGGTGTGTCATACCACACCCTAGAAAAATTCCCCTAATAAGGATCAGGGCTATGACTTGATCAGAGTATCAAAAATTACTATAATCTTACAACTGATTGCCTGATATCGTCAGATCATCGCATGGGATGTCATTACTTAACTTCCACTGAGAATCCTGGTTCAGCCAAATCCACACATAATTGTGGCGAGTGCGGGGGCGAGCACAATTCAATCCACAACAACAGATGAAGAAACCGAGAGTCAAGGTTAAATAATTTGAGGTGATCATAATAGAAGGCTATCATCAACAAGAACATAGCCTCACAGGTCCCACTAATTGGTCCCAAACTTCCCTGACTCAGGAATTTGACTTTATGCTACCGTGTTAATTTTTTACTTTATTATTTTGTGTGCTTACTTTTTATGAAACTATTTTAGGCTCAAAAAAAAAATCCCTGTATGTTACCACATTTGCCTTTAGAATGATTTTCAGAAAAGCATGTGTGTGTGTGTGTGTGTGTGTGTGTGTGTGTGTGTTATAGGTATATGGGAGGGGAGTGTGAGTGTGTGTAAGACTTACCACAGTAGAGTCCTGATATACTTCTTCCTGAAATTATAAGGATATGAGTAGGTCCCAGTTTTGAAAACCCCATCAGTAGTGCTCCAAGTAGTGAGAGAATGTTTGCTGCCATCATAGCTTTGATTCTGAAATTTAAAAAGCAAGGTTTATAAATTCAACATCAAAATTTGATACAACAATTTGCTTTCAGAGCATGCTGAGGTTTCCTTCCCACCCCACCCCACCCTCCATCCATGAGCATTCATTTTCATTTTGCTGTAAAAGCTAGCTAGAGATTCTTACCAAAGCAGGAGCTGTGGTGGTGTAGTGATTAGACCTGGGGCTTCCAACTCCACGGCCAGCAGTTGGGAACCCCGGGTCAATCCGTGGGAGAAAGATGAGGCTCTCTGCTCCCAACAAGATTTACACTCAGAAACCCACAGTGGGGGTTCTACCGGGTCTTGTAGGATTGATATGATCCAGAATGGACTCAATAGCAGATTTCTTTAGGAACTGAAGATTAACACTAAATATTACTCTGGAGCCCCGGTGGCATATTGGTGTAGCACTGAGCTGCTCACTGCAGGGTCAGCTGTTCAGAACCACCAGCCCCTCTGTGGGAGAAGGAGAAGCTCTCTACTCTGCCAAGAGTGAACAGTCTCAGAAAGTCCCCTGTCTCCGTGAGGGTCACTATGAGTGAGAATCAACTCGACAGCAGTGAGGTGAGCACAGAGTTGGGTTTTAACCAGATGAGTGATTTTATGATCTGCGATGGTCGTCAAGCAAATCGGTGACAGCTAAATCCAATTCTCTAGTCGTATGCCAGGATAGTTCCAGAACTAGGAATTAATGTCAAACAATGTGGACTATATAATCAAGCGGACAATGGCAATAAAAGCATCATCTTCAAAATGAGTACCATGAAAATTGACAAAATGTACTATCGCTAATACTTTCAGAAATATTAAATGCAGGGAGGGGAAAAATGAGGAGCCCAAGTAGAAAGGAAATGTTTTGAGAACGATGATGGCAACAAATGTACAAATGTGCGTGACACCATGGATGTATGGATTGTGATAAGAGTTGTACGAGCCCCCAATAAAATGACTTTAAAAATAACAAAACAAAAATAAATAAATAAAATGCATTACTCATTAAAAAAAAGAAATATTAAACAGACGATTAAAATACATAAAACTCTTCTTCGGCGTGGCTTAGAAAGCCAGTAAAAAAAATTTATGGGGCAAAAAAAGTCTGAGGGGCTGGGTGCAGAAATGTTTGTGCCAAGAAGAAATGAAAACACTGTTCGCGTTCTATCTCGATGTATTGAACTTTGATAGGTAGGCCTTTTCTAAACAAGAATCTTTAACACCAACTAACTTTTTTCCCGGAGAGCAAAATGATATCATCTCATACTGCAATAACTGTCCACTGAATAAAGGATCCACAAGATGTTCATTTCCTTCTCTCAAACCGTGGCAATACGCGACCTTCATCTTCCAAGTCACATCCTTGTTTTTCAGCATGTTGAAGAAATCTTGTGCAGCAGATTCACCAATGCAGTGTGCTGCTTTACCTCTTGACTGCTGCTTCCATGAGCACTGGTTGTGAATCCAGCAAGGTGAAATCCTTGACAACTTCAATCTTTTCTTCATTATCATGATGTGACCTGTTGGTCCAGTTGGGAGGATTCCGGTCCTCTTTACATTGGGTTGTAATCCATCCTGAAGTCTGCAATCCTGGGTCTTCATCAGCAAGTGCTGCAAGTCCTCCTCACTTTCAGCAACCAAGGTTTGTTGTCTACATAACACAGGTGGTTAACAAGCCTTCCTCCACTCCCGATCCTGTAGATCTAGCATCATTCTTCTCCATATAATCCAGCTTCTCAGATTATTTGCTCAGCATACAGATTGAGTAAATATGGGTCTTAGGTTTCTCTGGTGGGTAATACCTTGGTTCTTGGCTTCGCAAGAGAAAGAATTCATGCCTAAGCCTGGTTTGTGATCCAAGTTTTTTTAATAAAGGATGGAATAAGTTTCAGGTTTTACAGTCTCAAAAGAGCACACGCTATTTCAGGAAGAGTGCCAAACTGCGCGAAAGCCGCACTGAGGCTCACAACTGAACACGGGCAACTTCGTGGAACCACGCACCCGCACGTGGTGGCCTGAGCTCAGAGAGACCGAGGCACGGTGGGAGCGGGCACAGGAGCAGGGTCATCGAGAGCACAGAAGGCCACCCTGCTGCCGAGGTATTTTTTTTTTTAGCAATTTTATTAACACTTCATCCGTATGATCATCGCATGGGATGTCATTACTTAACTTCCA